TGTACTATACTTATTGTTATATTGAAAGCCACGATTCATATACTTTTCGTTGTAATTTCATCGTATGACGCACCCTTTAGAAAAATCATCAATATGCATATTTATTATTATAATGTTCAGCATGTACGATGGAAAAAAGAGAAATATACATAATTCTATTTTGATAGTTGTGAACATGAGTTGAGTGAGAAGGGATACGTAAAATTTCTTTTTCCTCGATCAACGGTCGTGGAGTGAATCAAAATTATCCACGTTTTATTATCGGTGACAGTTGTGATGCCTATTGATAATAAATAAATAGATATGTTGAACAAAATTCTGCGTCTCGATTTTTCTTTTTTTTTCTGTGTTGTAAGTTGTTGGGAAACAAAATAAAAAGACTATATTGAATTAGCATCAATTATATTTTATGGAGAAGAGATTATTTAGAAAGTAAATTTTTTGGGAGTGATGGTATGGATTCACGTCTATCGAGGTCTTGCTATTATTATTGTTCAGTTAACTCGCAAGAGAAACTTACCAGAGAATTCAAAGAATCACTGAGGTATACGAGACTAAAAAAATCGGAAATTCCAAAATTATTCTTTGTGGTTGTAATGAGGCACGAGTTTGGATATTACGGTATTACAAATGATTGGTGTGTCCGACGTTGATCAATGATTGGTGTGGTGATGGTGGTAGATATGACATCAATGAGATAGTTGGTGACACCTTTTTAACTGTTCATCCCTAACTCCGATAATTATGACTTGGTATTAGCAATTCTACGTAAATCGTCTTAACCTCTCCGGTGGTGCAATCACATTCCTTCTTGGCCCGCATTGTCAATTACGTAATCCGATTTTTTCGACAATCCCTTGAGAATTTAATTCTTTATATTAAGAATTTGGTGACACACAAGATAATTCGAGTCAATCTTCGGTGGAAATCAGCAACGATCTTTTTGTTGAATATTTCGAGCCAGGATCAGGACGAGAGTTTAACAAAGTTTTTATCATAGGTTTTTTTTCATACATCCGAGAATCAAACTTGTAAAACATGGATGATTCGTCAATAAGATTCCAAGAATTACATTTTTTATTACATAAATTTTGAAAAAAATAATAATAATAATTTTTCAATAGTCAATTCAAAGAAAGTTTCTTCCCGAATAGCAGGTTTTTATGATGATTATTTTTATGCTTATTATTAGATAAATTATGTTATTTGTCATTGATCCCGCAATCATGCTAAAAGTCACGTGATAAATTTTCCAACAACGAGTAAATGCGCAATAAACTAGTCGGCAAGAATTTCCAAGTGGCAATAAACGGCACCTTTCGTTTAAGAAGCTCACATGATGCAAAAAAAAAACGATTTTTGTAATTAAAACCCGAGTTCTATTGCAAAAACCTTAATATTTTTACTCTCGGATTTGGGATTACCGGCTTGTGAGCATCATACTGCGGGATGCATATAACAGGTATGCATTGTTGCACATAAATTTTTGTTCCAACAGTATAAAAAGCGTTGTTCGAATTTTTATTCCCGCTTACCATTCCATTTTTTTTCTTTTTTTTTTTCTTTTAAAAAAATCTTGTATATACTAAAAAAAAAGTATAGAATCATTTTGAAGTATATGTATCATACCTGCTTGCGTATACGTCTGTTACCCTAAAAATTTGCAAAAAAATATTTTCCGGTGTTATATTTTGGTTTAAATACTCCTTCAAGACAATACCATCTAAAGACTTACTTAATCTTTTTTGTTCATTCTTAATAGCCCCAAAACTTCGTTCTCACACACATGATCAAGAAACTGTTTTTCACATTTCTTGAATTGATATTATTATCATAAGCTTTCAAAGCAATTATTTGCGTCGCCAACATATACTCGATTAGTTAAAATTCTTGTAATATGTCCCAGAAGCAAAAGGAAAGAGAAAATTGTATAACGGTCGCATGCATCCATTGCACAGAAGCAAAAAAACGATGCTCCGGTAATTCCACCTGCGATAGGTGCGCTGGGCGTGGATTAACTTGCTCTTATCCGATCACAGTAAAGAAACGTGGGTCAAAACTAAAATACATTATCGACGATGATCAAGGAAGTTCGATCAAACTCCTTCAGCCCCTAGAACCAGCATCCGGTGATATAATTCGCAAAGGGGGTAAGTACAAGGTAATAAAACTATTGAGAAAACATAATACGAAAATTCTTATAAAGACTTATTTTTAGTAGAGCCTCAACTCTTGTTAAACGATGCCACGCTTAATTCGAATATCATTGCTAATTTTAACCATAATTTGGACGACTATTCTGCCGATCCATTAAAAGGTACGAAATTTGTATGATTCTTGGTGATTATGAGTCATCGTTAATTTCTGCGACATTCACAAATACTTCTGAATAACAGATAACTTCTTTCCTCCGCTATCTTCTATTCAACCTACTACTTATGACACCATAAACTCTATGAACACTCATGATACGACTTCACATAAAGGATATTATATTTTCAGTAATTTCCCGTATATTAATAATATTCCACAAAATAATGAATCTTTAACCTTTCATGCAAATCCTTTGGAAATTCACGATTTTGAACTCTGGGAAGACCCTGGTATAGATGACCAGCAATAGTGTTTTTTTTTTTTTTTACCTTAGAGATTTCACTCACATCAAATAATAGGCACCATTCAATGAAGTAAGCCTCTATTTTAAAGTCAAGGAAAATTGTTATGGTTTTTATTTCTATCTTTTCATCATTATTTCTGCGGTGAATACTCGTACCACACTATAAACTGTATCATCGTTTTTTTAATTTATTTTTTGTAAAATAATATTTATGAATAAGTCAATAAGAATAAAGTACGTTTATATGATATACTGCATAGTATTTCCACGTAACTTATAATTTCTGGATTCGAGTGTTATCACATGTTGGCTATAAGTGACCTTTTTGCCAAATAACCGTATTAATATGCACGTTCTAAGTGTACCGATAGACAGTAAAGTACAGTACAGGATATTGGAGATGTCTATCGGTTTCACAGCTAAAAATCATAACCTACTTTCAACAAATAATTTCTTGTGATCGATGAGAACTCTCCAGGTACTAGGATCCGGTTATAAATATCAGGCCTTTAAAGGTTACAAGCTTAGAAAAGTTTTGTACTTCATTGTCAATAAGCAACAAACATCTAGAGACTATTTTATCATTAATTTAAATAACTGCGGATTTATTTATATTACGAAATATACATTTACATTTGATTTTTTTAGTTACATTCAAAAGGACGCCATAGGTTCTGGTCAAGTGACACTTATTGGTGCTACAACTGTGGCGTACTGTACATCATGACCATTCATTAAGGCCATTTAGGAGTGTGGCAAAGGGAAATCGTATTGGGTAATCTTAATAAAATCAAATAATGATTATATTACAGTGATGACCGTCTATTGTATTTTAAAGTGCAACGAGCAATTGGTTGTTTTAAGTAACCAATAATCAAAAATTCTAAATTTTGGACATGGATTTTATAATAATAAAAAAATAATGGGGATTATCAAAGACCAGAATTAAATCATTAAATCGGAAATCAAAATGATACCAATTTGATCTGCTCTTGGCGTCGTAATTTCATTCATTGACCATTTTTGAAATTACAAATATGTTCAACTTAGGAAAAATAAATTTTTTTCTTTAAAAAAAAAAAATCGATTGTGATTGATGGCGCCAATAAAAATGATTTTTCATTTCCGATGCTCGCGTGAACCATTGCCAAAACATCCAATGGAAATTATTTGGAACAGATCGACGCAATTGGCTATAAGTCATGAAGCACAGTCATATGATTCATGCAACTAATCTACCCCAAGATTCGAAATAATATAGGAAAAATGATCTCACCTATGGCAAAGAGATTTGAAGGATTTGAAGGATTGGAGGCTAAAAAATACATGCGCAGAAAAATCAGAATTATATAAGGGTCACTCTATTCGATTGACCCATTTTTTTGTTCGGCATACTTTCTGTTAGATTTTACTATACCTCTGTCTTTTTTTGAGGCACATAATACATCGGTATAATATACTTCAACAGATTTCCTGAATTTCATAATTTGTTTCGCCCAATATCAATATGCCAAAAGATAGAAATTCAAAAAAAGCAACGAACGCGTGCATCCCATGTCGAATCCTACACAGAAGATGTATTTATATTGAAGGCAGTGGAAAATGTGAAAGATGCTCAATAAGCGATAAACCCTGTGCTTATTCCACACGAAGAAATAAGCGCGGTCCTCGACCCCGAGGAAACATTCACGAGAATACTCAAAGCATATTGCATATGCCTAATTTGGAAGACATTAGCATCGATATAAAATCGTTTATCGTGCCATCAGAGATGATTCAAGAGAGTACTAAAAGCATATTATATGTGTCTAATTTGGAAGACACCATCATCGATATAGAATCGTCTACCGCGCCATCAGAGATAATTCAAATAACGGACAGTGAATCCATACAGTATTTTTCGGATGAATGCATCTCTAAATTAGGGGCCGTGACATTAACGCCTTGTCCTCAAAAACAAAACGTTGAGCATCTATGCCACAGAGGATGTGTCATAAGACCTGTGGATGATATAAGAAATCCATGCACCCTCTTGTAATAAAATAAGTAAACAATTCTTATTATGTAAGAAGTAAGATATAAGACATTTCATACTATATACACCTTTTTAAAATTAAACATCAATAATCGTAATTTCTATATGCATACGTTTAAAATAGTCTTTTCAATTTCACACGCGGCAAATCTGAACATAGTAACAGTAACTTTCCAAAACTAACGTGGCAAAATCTGAATATCGTAGAAACTCGATAAATAAATCTCTACTATCGAAAACAAAAACTTATGATAAATCTTCTCTCGTCCGATATGTTTGTAAATAATGAAGTTATCAAGTACACTTTTTCTAAATTTGTTTTATTATAGTTTTCCAATAACTTGATCACATCGGAACTCTTCGGTCTTTTGTATTCTTTGCATAATCGAATTACTCTAATAAAAACCCCTAAGTCTCGTTATTCTACTAAACTGTCTACTCAAACTTTAACTTTGTTCCGTCCTTTCTCATTATTCACAGAATTAAATTGAAATAACAATCTTTTTTTTATCATCCGCAATCCCGGTGTTGTTATTCGTTGCTCTTTGTTTCACGAAAATCGATTTCACTCTTATTCAGATTTGGAAATTTCTCATTTACCTTGCACACAGACGTGTCGTGTAAGTAGGTAATATCGATACATGGTACTCGCAATGACATGCAACGATAATGTTTTTGGCGTGAGGAACTCTATACATCCAAGAATAATCGTTAAATCCATGCACAATTTACAGCATATACTATCTAATGGTAGAATTATTGAACAACTCATAAATACCCGATGATGAACCACAAATTTGATTGGTTCACGCTTGAATATATTCCCTTGTCCCTAAAATTGTGGATTACAAGCATAAAAATATTCTCGTAGTAATGCGAGTGCGGAGAATACATTCAGTTAGTGAGTTTGCTCACATCATCAACCACAAACATATTCGGACGTTGGCTTCCTTTAATGTCGAATTTACAGTTACACATCCATCGGATTTTAAAATAATCTAGATTAAAAGTTTCACGGCACATCATTGCGTAATATGTAACTCTAAAGTTAAATAACCATTCAAAGGCCATTTTTGGTTTACGATTTCATTCCAAACTTCTGGATATAGTTAATCTTAAAACTCAATTACGTACTCTATTGTAATAATAACCCCGAAGGCATCAAAAATTCTACAAATTCTTATTATAGTACTTCTTACGTGCATATTACTAGAAAATGGAAAATTATTATAAGTCCAAAGTAAAATTTAAAAAAAAATGTGCTAATAAAGAGGTATTTTTATATAGAGGGTGACTGTGTAGAGATATAACTGTACTATATATGCATTTTTTATTGATGTGTCAAAAACATAATTTGTATCACATACCTTAGAAATTTGCCTTGCTCGGACAAATTCCCATCAGTGTTTCTGGTGCATACTGTATATCTAATAAGGATGAAGCTCCGATTATTATATAATACAATATATTCCCTATGCAACTTATACTCCTTGATACATATTTTTATGTAATAGAATTTTCCATACCGTATAAGCTCATTTCTTTAGACTGCGTTGAATTAACTATTTTCGTATAATAAATTATCTGGGACA